TACTCGGTTGGTACTCAAAGATTCTTGAAAAGTCTGCGAGGCATTAAAAAAATAAACACTGCTAAAGTTCTATAATGGTGTATATGTGTGTGTGTGTGTGTGTAATGTAAAAACGTAAATTTTTCACTTACCTCTCGCTTGAACACCTACATAGAAGCAAGGTTTTGAATTATTTTATGTATGTGAGGGTGGGTACGGGCACATGAGCGACTCTTATTTAGTTATTATTTTGTATATTTTCGTATAAAAATGTTACATAAGATAAATTTAGCTACATTTCACGTTGTCTCTCTTTCTTTGGGACGTTTTTTACTTTTATTTAATTTTTATGTTTTGTTTTATTTTACAAAATTTTATTAAATTATTTTTTTAATTAATTTTACTTATTTACTTTTAATTTATCTTAGGTTCCTCAATTCAGTTTTAATTTATATTTTCACATTTTTTTTAATTAGTTTTATTTAATTTTTATTTCTATTAATTTATATATTTTTTTTTAATTTCAAATTATTTTATTTTATTTAATACTATTTGTTCTTAGTTTAGCATATATTTTTTACGAGCTAAGCAAATATACCTTGAAATTCATTTAGAATCTCTTATAAGCCATTAATGCGCCTACCCGTGGATACATTCATGTTTTTACCGGCACCTTCAAGTGCAATAACACATTAAGACTGTTTTTTAGTTAAAAGCAAATGCATATAGATTTAAGATTAAAACCATTTTACCTTGATAAAATGCATACTTATTATATATATGTGCACATATACCGTTAGATTTGTGTATATAAGCACTGTGAAGGCACTGTAAATGACAGCGCAAAGGAAATTTCAAAATAAAACAACCGAAAAATTATGGTATAAAAAGTAAGGCAAAAGTAAAAGTTCTTTGGCATGCATTTAGAAAATTGCACTTATATGGAAGTATGCAATATAGACGCTCGGTCGTACACCTACATCAAAGCACATTCATATATTTGGTGTCTGCGGAAATATGTGGTATGACGATTTAATGGCCATATCACTGAGTTGGCTAGATATCTGAAATGTCGAGCGAATGGCTTGGCAATGACAACTGTATGTTAGTATGCTTTAGCTTGCGCTTTTGGAATGTCAGTAAAGTATATATGAAAGCTTCGTTGTATGTAAGCCTTTTTATATAAACGTGCAATTGATTCGGCACATTAGTTGCGTATACGCCCTGTCGACTGCTGAAACGACAAACCAACCGAAATTTATGGGCATTAGTGTAATGAGATTTTCAGCTTTTCAATTTTCGCAAAAGCATAATGATAAAATGGCAAATTATTGATTATATGAATATGAATAACTGACATTTATGGCATATATGCCGGTGAAATATGGATGGCTATGCACATTTGACCGGTAGACATATGAATGTTGAGTTTGTGCCTTAAATTCGATAAAAAATCTTTAATTTACGGAGACAGGAAATAATTCGCAACTGCTTTTACATTAAATGGCATATATTTAAGGTAAAAAAAGTTTTATTTTTTAATAAATACACAATAGTAGCTACCATTCCCAAACAAATCTAGCAGCCTTATAACGCCGAAAAACAAAACAGAAGGCAACCTATCAGTGAACAAAAGTAAAAAAAAAGTATTTTGTTGAATTTCATTTTAACATATTTCATTGAATGAAATTATATTTTATCTTCTTATATTTTATTACATTATATTATATTTTACTTTATTTTATTTTATTTTATTTTATTTTATTTTATTTTATTTTATTTTATTTTATTTTATTTTATTTTATTTTATTTTATTTCATTTTATTTTCTTTTAACATCGTCTTATTTTATATTTTATGTTAAATTTTTTTTTAGGTTAATTTAATCTCATTTAATTTTTTTTTTTCATTTCATGTTAGTTTTTTATTTTTATTCTTATTTTATTTTCCTCTACTGGATTCATTTTGATTATTTTCGTATAAGAAACACTGTATCGTAATTTGGTGCATGAACTACACTCAAACTACACGAGTACTTAAAAAGTATTAAGTGTGACTTTCCCACTTGTGTTTAATTAAACACGAATGAAACTTTTACTTAGTACAGAAAGTGCAGAAGTTGAAATTTTTTCACAAAGTCTAAGCAAATATGCATGTAACAAAGTAAGAGCGCATAAAAGCGGTGATGAAGGTTTTGTTTTGGTAGATATGCATTTAAGAGCCTTTTTTCGAAACACTTGAAAAGTTGAACAGATAATACAGCTGAACTATGGGGTTTTAGCTTAATGCGACTAATTTTATGTTTCACATATAATTTTTAAAAGGTAATGCTCCAGACGAGTTTCATTTGTTTTTATCTCTCTTAATCAAAATATTTCACGTGTAGCTGATAGGTATTTATTAAAATTCTTTCATTAATATTTTAATATTTTCTCCTTAAAATCAGTTATTTTAAATTAAGCTGGTCACTCTTAAAAGTTTTCAAAATATTATTGTTTCACCTTACAAAAAATGTATTGAAAATGCTCTGACCTTCTGATGTTAAAACGTATATGAAGAAATGTTTAGTTTCACCTTTAGTCTCTCTGTAGAAAATAATGATTTTAATAGTTCATGATAATTATTGCATATAATTTTAGCATTCACTTTCGAGTGGTGGAAGCAATTAGAAAAATTAACTTAATTTTTTTATTTAAATAAATTTTCTAAATCTTTTGGATGTAGGGAACACAATCGTTGTAATTTTTGTGCGAATTTTTTTTTTTTTGGATTTAACTATCATGGACAATTTAACTAACTAATGTATAAATTTACGCCGTTACTGGCTTAGTTGCCTAAAAGTATGCATTAGCTAAGCAAAAATTATCCATAGAATTCAAAAAAAAAAATATCTATAAAAAAATTTAAAAAATCCAGAGAACCTTAACATCCCGTCATTTTATTCACATGTTTTTTATAGAATTGTTAAGTTCACAATCTTCAATATGGACCATTTTTAAGTTGGCAAGATCAATGCGGAATGATAAATTTTTATTCTTACTCAAAAATTAAAATTCTTGGCATTTTGTTCGCACACCTTTTATATTTATATGATTCTCAGAAAGAAAATACTGCAAGCATTGGTTGGTTGATTGAAAGAGGCAGGTTGAGGAATTGATTGCTAGTGGCCGCTGAGAAGTCAATTATTGAGCTCATTGTGATACTCCATATATTGAGAGCCCTCCATATTCCAGACATTTTCTAATGAAGATAATTCTCTAAAATCCTTGCGAAACACATTCCTGACGATAATTAATCCAGAAACCGTAAAGCACTTTATTGTTCATTTTTGGCAAACAATTCAAAATGAAAGTAACGCGATTCCAAAATTATAAGTTAACAAAAAAGGAAACATTGTGTTTATTAAACTGTAAGTGATCAGTCAAGATGTAATGAATATATATGTGTTAAGACTCCCTGAGAAAGCAGAAACCTTCCTACTGCATATCTCTTACAGTATATTTTTCAGCGAAAACGGAAAGAAGCAATTCAATCTCCACATTATTGGGAATATTTTTAACTGTTTTTTATTGCATTATTACTTTTTTAATTTTATGGATTGTGTCTTGTGAGGATTGGGTTTTGTAGGGATTTGGTCGGACCAAAATTATATATTTCCGGAAATTTAATTTCCATATTTAATGCGTCGTTACTCTTTCGGAATACCATTTGCAGTAATTATTAGGTATGAGTTTCCAAAGAGGAAAACAATTTTCAATAAAAAAAACGGTAACTGCTACAACAGAAATGCAGAGCAAAAAAAAAAATTAAAAATGCTTAGATAATTTGAAAAAATTTATATTTTTTAACCATTATCTTATTATAAAAAAAAAAAAAATTTTTATTTAAATCTTTAATTGCCTTAAAAATATAAATTTGAAAAAGAATTTTCGTAATTATGAAAGGAAGATAATTTTCGTTGATATTATAGGCAAGAGTTAGCACGAAAAAGATTTAATTTTTTTTAAAAATAAAAATTCAAATTTTGGTAAAATTTAAGCAAATTTCTTTTTCTAATGAGTTGTGATTGAAAAAAGAGATCTCAGCTTCTCAAGACTTTATCTCCGAGAACTTTATCCGGATTGCCTTAATATGATTATAATTTTTTGATGCTACAAAATCCATACAACTACTTGGTTGTAACTTTAATTCGCTGATAAAACACATACATAACCTATAACTACGTATGTAGATGTGTAAATATAAGCAAAATTTCTATGTCCTACAACGATAACTTTTTTTGAACGCCAAAACTAATAAAAACCCCACCGAACGACTCTACGACTCCCCTGACGATAGCGACAATGTGATAAATTATGTAGCGACACTTGTCAGGCGACAAAGTTATAAACAAACAAACTGGAATACATAAACACCTATAAATGGCTGAAGTAAAGAAACAATGCAATGCAAAAACATATGCAACGGAACACAATTTCATTTCATTTCATTTGAGTTCGGCAACAAAACAAAGGTAACAACAATGCAACAGCAGAAGCCGGTCAGCAAACTGTTTATGTTGCCACACTGCTGCCGCTGCGGGCTTTTATGTATTGTATTAGAAAACTCATAGTAAAGTTGTAAATTGAAAAACTGAAATAGAAATGAATAGAAAAAATATTTGCAATTGCATATATCTTCATTTGGTGTTATAAATTTCCTCAATATTTTTTCAAATTCTTTTTTTCTCTTCTCTCTTTTCCATCCATTTTTCTATAAAACAACTCAATTGAACCTTCCGGCTGTATGCTGCCTGCTGCACATCCAACCGCTGCCTGGCGATTGCATCAACGTCATCAACATATCAACACTGTTTTGCGCCTGGCAACAACAACATAACAACGAACAACAACAACAACAATCAACTGACCGTCTAACATCACAACTTGTGGCTATCATTCTGCATCTAAACTCAAATATATATATATACATATATATATTGGTATTTATGTGTATGTCTGTGTGTGTATGTGCAACATCTAGCTAACTGCACTGTGGGCAATACAACATATGCACATGGACAGACATTTAAATTGGATTGTAAAACGCAATGTGTCTGTGAGGTAAGTTGACAGAAAAAACACCAAAACTTTTCAGAGTGTGTGGTGTGGTGTGTATGTGTGTGTGTGTGTGTGTGTGAGCTTAAAAGTATTACAGCATGTTGGGCACACAAAGTATTGTTGAACGTGCCAACTTTGACACACATACACACACATCCATATGCACACATACCCACACATGCTTAGTTGTGCATTTTTATTTATTCAGATACTCATTGATTTATGTACTCAGATGCATGTTTGTGTTCGACTATTTTGTTTTTGTAATAAATATGTTTTAGCTTATTCTCGTTTTTAGCTTTATTGTTGTGTTTGTGTTCTTTTGCTATTCATTCTATATTATCGCTGGCAATTTTTCCATTTTTCTTTTTCATTTGAAACGTTCACCTTTTCTTTGGTGTTCTTCTCACCAAAGTTTTTCTATAAAAAGGTGTGTCGATTTATATTTAGTATATATATAATGTTGTGGAGTCTGTAGGAACATCTTGGTGGTATCTAGTTGTCTAGGAATAATCCACAGATCGTCAATGCTGTCTTGCACTGCTTCGTAAACGGACTTAAGGTGCGAATGCGTTCAATTCCAACACACATTCTTAAATAATTAAAAAAAATCCCATCGAAACAAGTCGAAATAACCTCTTAATCCAGAATCGGTTAGGCAAAAGTGCCTGCCTCCTATCAATGTGGTTGAACATTGAGTTCCATCGCAAGTGCACTTGTCGAGCACAATTAAGCGCTCGGGCTTTTAAGGACAAGAAAGTGATTCGACCTTTCGCAATACCCCGCGTATCAAAAATATCTCAAATCTGTGCATGGCCCAAATGTTTGTCGAGCTGACGAGGTAACTTTCTACCATTCAATAGCCGGCAAGTGGCTGAACGCATTTCTGTTAACAACTTGTTGTTGTTGTTGAAAATTTTCATGCTTCCGCTTCTAATGAACATAATCGAGACATAAACGGATACAATAAAAATGGTGGCCGCTCTAAGGGTGTAGATGGCAGAGTAGTCTGCAATGGGATCCAGGTAGGTTCCAGAAAGTCCAAAAATAAATCGAAGACGCTTGTTAGGCGTACATGACTGTAGATTCGTGTGAGAAGAAGGGTGTTGGTGAATTGAGTTTTAGTGAACATGCAATGAAGTGCTTAGCAACGTGTGAGAAGTCAAGTCTGGATAGATAACAGCTGAATGAAATACAATGCCCAGATCTTTATTGCGCCCGTACTACTTGGGTTTCGTGTGATACCTCAAAATCTTCGTCTGGTATGAGTGGTGGTTAGGTTCTGATCACAGTATTCATGGGCGCGGAGTATATAACGGTGTTGATGTCCTTTCTATCAATAGCGTTTGAAAACTGCAGATAACTCGTCCTCTCCAGTAGTTTTCTAATGTGCTGAATGGAATTCTCTTGATGGCTATGTGTCCTTAGCAGACAAATAGATTCAATTGGCACATTTTGGCGCTGATGCAGTTTTCGGCTTAGCTGCTCTTCCATTTTTCGTTGTGCTATTTGATGGATTTCTTGTACTTTTCCCAAAAATATGATTAATTTTCTAAATCAAGCCAATCTCTTTAGATTAGAACTGGAAGCCGTCATTCTATGGATTTTTGATTGTTATACCATATCTAGGCTTAAATTGGGTGTCTTTGAAGAACAGCTAAACTTCGGTCTTACCAAAGGGTTAGAGCAACAAAGGACTTCCTTTTTAAGCATTATATACACTTCAAAATAATTTTGGATGGCATCTAGATACTGAGCATTTGAGAAGTTCTTGTCTTAGAGTAGTTTCCAAATCATCAGTGCGCAGCATGTTCCAGTGAGCCTGAACTCACATCTGTGCAGAAAGCCTAGCAACTAGATCTTATGCCGTAATTAACTTGTATATTTTAAAAGCTCATCAAGGAAATAAAAGCATGCTTTAAGGTGGGCAGCTCAAAACTGTGGCCACTGCTGATATATACTTCTTAAAAATTGCTTCTATGTCATTTATGTGCATACAAATATATACGTATGTATGTTTGTATATTTTTTCACATTTGTTTGCCATCGTCCAAATGCAACAAATGCAACAAATGCCGAAGCGTATTAGAGTAAATTGAATTTATGTGGCATTAGGATTTACCTGCGCTGATCAGATCAGTTGGTTGTCGATGAGCGGCAATGAGAAGCGATGAGAGGTGCTGAGTTAATGGAGGCGCCGCCAAGTGTGGATAAAAATGCATTACAGGTGTGAGAGTACGGGACAGCAATACTGTGTGCACCCACATAAATATACAAATAAACATATGGACATATACACGTAGAATTCATTGAAATTGAATTGAATGGAATTGAAGTGAGAAATGAGAAAGGGATAAAACAATTTGAGTAATGAAAAAATGCCAACCAGCGACATACATACCTACATATATACATATGTACATGTAAACAAATAACTAAACAAGACATACGCATTGAAGTGTATGCAAGTATATTCATACATATATATTTACATTCACATGTGTAGTTCGAGCAGCAATTTTTGCGAGTAACACGTTCTTTTCTCGATTGCCATAAGGCAATATTGCAACACGTGCGCGGCAGCAAGTAACGAAATAACTGAATTTTGTATTGTATAAGAAGACATACAACAATAACAACATCAATTGTATAACAGTTTTTTTGAATTTGAATGCCGTTATAAGTGAAAGAAGTGTACATTTGTCCCTTTTGTTTCGTGTCTAACGTGTGAGTTGCTCAATATTTTGACACAACTTGTCATTTAATATTAATCAATAATAATAACAACAAAAACAACACACACATTCAGGTTTTGCTTGTGCCATTGTTGGCCATTATTTGTGTCGTGACACTACGAATGGGTCATGAGCCTTATTCAGTCCCACAAACACACAAATCCAATTAACTCTATGTTATTTTTCTTCTTAACTGATTGAAATTTCTAATTTAAAAAGATTGATGGCATATTTAAATTCCTTTTGGCCTCAGAATTAAAAAAAAAATGTTGGAAAAATAAATTTAATTAAAAAAGGAAGTTTTTGGCGTGGAACAAAGTGATTTAGTGATAGTGACTGGTGAGGTTAGACTTGGTTAAACTCATTGAGGCCCACATAGTGCTCCATAGTGTTTCTATATGCGATCTATCTGCACCGCTACATTCTTGATTGTGTCTCTAGTGTGAAGGTTATTGTGTTACGTGCCATAGAAGTTTGAAAGAAACCCTAAGCCACCAGTAGAAATTGTGAGACCCCAATTACATAGAAGAGCTACTCGGAAACGGTTTGAAGAAGGAAATGAAAATGATTTAGAAATCACCTAAGTGAAATATTTTAAGCCAATGTTGCAGTAAGGAATTTTACGATTCCATCTTTGTAGTCTCTAAGACTGATCTCGTCGTGAATATGACCATAACACCACAAATGCTTATATAGCTACCACCAGCTAGTCTCTTTTACGGACTCCAATCTGCCACCTGAGTGAGGCGCAATACCTCCAATATCTTCTGACAGCTTGCGTGCCTAACTTTTTCCACCATTTCATTTTTGAGTGACTCGCCGACCAAAATGAGATGATTTTTCTGCTTGGAAGGCAATTTTCAACACCTTAGCAAGGTTGGTAGAAGGAGGCTTGCCCCAATGATTTTTAAACGCGGTATTAGTAGCACATGTTCCGCTAAATTATTCATGATATAAACGACTCTCATCTGGTGTCGCTGACAAAGAATTAACACCTGTCAATAAACCATTTAATTGAGCAAACTCATTAGTATTCCATCAACAAGAAATGAGTATAAAAAGAATTTTTCCTTCAAAAAAATCAATATTAAGCAATAAAGAAAAAACAGGGTGTGCCGTAAAATGCAACTCACGGAAGGCCATTAAATTTTCAGCAGCATCCGTTTGAAATCTTTATTTTCATTATTTACTTTTTTATTTTATTTAATTTTTTCATTTTTATTCAATTTTTTCGTACGACTTAATGATTGCACATTATTTTTTCTCACGCACTCACCAGCTTTTTGCGCATTATTCTCATTTTATTTAACTCACGATTATTTGCATTGTGCATTAATTTGCAGTTGAGGCGGTCAGTGAGTTGTTTCCTTTTTTTCTTCCATTATGTTTATATTCTTTAATTCTATTTCATTTTTCTTTTACAATATTTTATATATTTTGTTTTTTTTCTGCTCTTTTTGATATTTTTATTTTACATATTTATTTTATTTTCATTTTTTAACTACCTCGGGCAATGCGATTTCTCCCTGTCATTGTCTTTACGTACTTTCTTACGCTGACCAAAACGCGTACTCTCACACGCAAATACAACAATAATACATAAGAGTGTTTATATAAAGAATTTGTATACTCATCCGTACTGATTTTACTTTGCTACAAAGAGTTCGTTCATTTGTTGCTCTTCCTCTTCTTACATGCATTGCTCTTAACCTTAATTCTTTTTTGCTCTCCACTCTTTGCCGTTATTACCTTTGCTCGTCGTTATTGCTTACGTAAAATAATTATTCCATTCACTTATTGCTTTGTTTCTTTACTTTATGTATATTCTTCAATTGCATTCATTCTTTTAAACCTGTGAGTGTGTTAGTGATGTATGTACATGACCTTAAGCGCTTTCCGTTTTCTTGTTTCTCCAGAATGGACGTCATGCCTGCTCATCGCTCTGTCCGAAAGAGCAACTGCCAGCGCCGGAGGATACGATATCATGCAGATCGCCACGTCTGGTGGAAGTGCCGGGACATTGTTGTAAAATGTGGCTGTGTGAGAATCCCACAGCTGATGGTAAGTGTTTTCCACCGAGATTGTTGTTCGTCGAATTGTGGCATATTTATATGGCCAAAAAAATTATCAGGGATATTTCTTATAAAAATTTCCATAGAATTCATTTAGAAGACACCCAGACTACATAAAGGAACTATTAAGTTCCCAAAATTATTATCCAAATCCACGAGAATTCACGTCCCAGTGCGTAAAAGAAATTAATGAAACTATGAAATCTACCAATTAGTACCAGAATATCTTTACTTTTTCTTCAAGAAAGCATTTATGAAATTTATTAAAAGAAAATCTCTCAGTGTAAATCTTATTTAGTTACATAAGTGATTACGTTGTACGAAGCACGTGCCTCCAGCAATACGATAAGTGAAATAATATAAGCAGAAATGCATAAATGAAAGAAGCCCCAAGTAAGAAGAAACACCAAAATAATACAAACATTCCAACATTCCTCGGCCTTCCATCTGCAGTGGCAACTGAGCAATATTCATTTGCTATAACTATTGGCTAAGTAAACGTCAAGCCATTGTCCGATGCGGACACAAGGAAAACATAGCGTTAGTCATACCAAGGACCAATCAACGAGCCCAAGGCATGGAGACAGCTACCGGCCAGCCGCAGTCAGATAGGCGGCAAGTTGACCAAGAGGCTGTGTCTAAGCGACTGTGTGTGTCTGTAGATGTGAAACTTAATGATTTTCAAGGCGAATTAACAAGAAATATTTATGAGCGCAAGCTACATGCAAGCCATTTTCGGTCAACGACAAGAAGGCGAAGATTGTGCCGCTTCTGGTATGATATATATATATATATATGTATATATATATATATGTATGTGTGCAAGTGGAGTGCTCAAGGCTCAATGATAAAGCAGACGTAATTACTCATGCAAGGATAAGGCAATGATACATTGCGCAGTGATAAAAGCAAAAAATACGTAGAAAGAAAGAAATATTAAGAATGTAAGAGCGAAAGACGAATAAGAAGCGCACGGTCGGAGCAATGTTTTTTAGAGGCATAAATTTTGAATTTTTTTTAATTTATTTTTCACCAAAAAAGTCTTCCGTTTACAAAGGCAGTCAAAGCACCCAATGGCTATGATATGGATTTATTTTGACTTGGAATTTATACCATTTCAAGGTTAATGACCATGGAGTGGTGGTGGCAGGAAAGGTGGATAAAAACATTCTACGCAACTAAGATAAAGAAAAATAAAAGAGTTCGGGATCCTTCAACATAAATAATTTTAATTTTCCGTTTAATAAAAATTACAAGTCTTTTATTATATTCTTTTAATTGCAATTCACTTTATTTTTTATGTATATTATTTTTCATTGTATTGTATATAATGTAATGTAATGACCTTATTTCATTTTATTTTATTTTAATTTATTTTATTTTATTTCATTTTATTTCATTTTATTTTATTTTATTTTATTTTATTTTATTTTATTTTATTTTATTTTATTTTATTTTATTTTATTTTATTTTATTTTTATTTTAGTTTTTACTTTCATTTTATATAAAAAATATGTTGCGCAGTCTTTAGGACAAAAATAGCACAGAAGCTTGCTTGGTAGATGCAAGCAGAACAATGTTTCCCTCCCTAATTACCTTTTGATGACTAAATTAAATTTAATTACTATGTACTTATACTTCTATGTGTATTATAAATACACTTAAACACCCTTTATATATGTATAGTTAGTGTATTTTTTTGTGCTTACATACTCTCTCTTTGCAGTATACGCCACCTGCCACAATGCCTCGACTAGTCCGTGGACGCCATGCTCGCAGCCCTGTGGCCTTGGCATTTCGACGCGCTTCACTAGCACGAACGCTGGCTGTCGGCAATTGAGCAGCTTGCGATTGTGTGAAAATCGCAAATGTGATCACGACAATAAAAACAATAGCAACAACAGCCAATACAATAGAAACTATTTACTGCAACCGCAAGAGGCACAGCCGGTGGCGGAAAACGCTATATCACTACAACAACTACAACAACATCAGCAACAACTACAGAAACAAAAACAACAATTAATTAGCCATAATGTGGCGAACAATTTAATTGTAAGCGAGCCTAAGGATATTAAGGATATAACAAATTACCCAGCATTGTTCCATGCGAAGGAGCATGAGGAGCATCGGATACGTGTAAGTGAAGGAATAATTTAAAATAGAAATCATTAAATTGTTCTTAAAAAGATATATGCACTTAAATTTAGTAATGAATAAGAAAAAAAGGAAAAATATATAAAAAAAAATCAAATACTTTTTAGTGACATATTAATAATATATATATATATATATATTAAGAAATGTAAAACTTAATTGATATTACGATTTATGTTTTCATTATTTATATCTATTTGATTTCTCCACTTAATTTTCGAATTCTCACTAACCTCAACAATGTTTCAACTCGCATTATCTAAAATATTACCACTATTTATTGTTTTTGTCTTCAACTTAAGTTGGTAATCCAAGCAAACAAATAAACAACAAAAATAAACAGCGAAAATAAACACCAAAAATTATATGAATAACAAAGGAAACCACAAGCTAACGAGCCAAAGCAGACAATTGAATTTCTCAACTCTACTCGCACTTACATACAAATACTATATATTACGATATATACTGGCATACTCCAACAGTATTTACAAGATTGTCCACTACCGGCGCGTAATCCCGCAACGCTGCGCCTCTTGAAATCGTTCTACTCTTCACCAACAGCTTAAAAATCACAAAATCTTTCCACTTTATTACAAACTTAGTATAATATACATAAATATATACATACTTGAATAAACATATATTTACCATAGTTAGATTACAAACCATTATGTATGTATGCATTCTGTCTTTTGAAAGTTTCACGTTTCGTCACCCTTTTTGGGGATTTTCAGTTTATCCTTTTATGGAAAACAAAGCGGTTTAAGCTGTCAAATCTTGTCAGTTGTCGTCGTCTTGCACTTTCACATTTTTATCGTAGTTCAGTATTAAAAATTTCCATTTACTCCTTAATTGGAAAATATATTATTTAAGATTTTGGTATTTAAAACCTTTAAGATGGTAAGTTTTAAGGTGAAAGTTTTTTAATATTCGCTCCTTTAGCAGCGAGAACTTTTTTAATTATTTCCCAATTAAATTTAAGAGCAAAATATTTAGAAAAATCTTAATTAGATGAATAAAAAAAATATATAAGGACTCGTTGGGGTATAATTTTAGAATCATTTTTCAAAGAAGTTCCTTCAGTACAAAACTGTAAGACACACATTAGAAACTCACTCAATTATCTCGAAGCTGATGGATGCATTCAAAACTTGTTCTACCTGAGCAAGTGGGACTCTACCTCTTCCGTTGCTTCGAAAATATTCAAGACTGTTCCTGCCGTTCAGCTGACAATTTCTATTTAGACTATACCATTTTCGGATGGTGGATTATCTACACCATTGTTATGGGTGGAGAACTTCTCGCGAGCTCGAGAAATGTTGGCTTTCAAGGCCTTCATCAGCTCTTGTCAAGTTCTTGCTGTCCTTCCGATAACTAATCACCTCATTGGAGCTTGGATTGCCGCCACACAGTTTCCTTGCCGCAAGTAAAATTGATGAAAGCTCACAGAGAGCAAGAGTGCGAATGCAGGTGGAAACCCTCTGGCTAACTGTTGTAATTTATACATTCTTGACATCCACCATTCTTATTGTTCGTTTACGAAGATTCATTACTTCACTGTGAGGGGCTGTGCATCTTGGCTGAAACAAAAACTGGTCTGAGTCAGCCAAGTTATTCGATGAATTTTCTTGTGCTGGAATCTCTTGCTACAGGCCACCATATTTGGAGGGCTTTCGTCTTGAAGGCTCAATTTTTCGACTATACAGCACAGGATACTTTATTTGACTATCTCGAGGTTGAAGCCACCTAACAAACTATTTTTATCATGTCCGCGACAGCGCTTATAACGACGTTCCACGTCTTTGATCTTTCTTCTATTGGGGCCAGAGCGTAAAGCAGCGATATTTCTAAGAAATTCATTTTGGTGTTGATAGTGTACTGTAGTGTAATGTTGTACTTTGCGATTGAGTGTATCTTCAATCTAAATTCCAGCAAGAATTTCCTATTCCTTTTTATAGTCGCTGTACTACTTGTCTCAAGCGCCTACTAGTTTCCGTCCTTATTCCGTTCAGAGCAGTTCTTCGACGGCGATGATATCTACATCACTATTGACAAAGGGAATCAACGTTTTAATTAGAGCTGGTTTTATTTGAAGGATCTCAAGCCCCGAATCGAGAGAAAGTGAAATAGGATAAAATTCTGTAGGTCAGCGGCCCTTGCTTTCATATGAGTATGTCTAACTGAAAGTGTTTGGGAATTAGGTTTCCCGTGAACTGCATTTAATATTAATTATAGTTAACTCCTTAGCGTTTAAATTAAAATTGTTCAGGAAAAATAAAAAAGCAAATATCTGACCTTACAGAAAGGGCACGAGTGTCGCAGCTTGCAACGGCTCGGACCGGCACGCATTCGTCTGGGCGCTTGCATTTCACGGAAACTATATCGGCCGAAGCTATGCGGACGATGTCATCAGCAGTCGGGAAAATGCTGTAAGCCTTCACTCTCAACAACAATACAAGTAAGTAAAAAAAAAAAAACAAAGAACAAAGAACAAAGGTGGGGGGATGTTTTTTGGTGAGGTTAAAAGTTTACTTTCATATTAATATATTTATATTTTAAAAATTTCAATGCTGTAATTTTAAAAACTTTAGCAAATGCATTAAGATTTTTAAAAGTTGATTAAATTAATTAATTCATTCATATCAAAATGTCATAGTTTGAGAGTACAACAACTAAATACTTTTACCGATAAAGCCATTAAAGCTAACTTTTGTAATTAAATAGTTGTACAAATAACTGCACTCCATTAAGTATTTATCATGCAAAAGTAATTTCTTGCTTTTCTGTTTTTTTTTTAATGTTCCGACTATTTTTTTTTTTTTTTTTTGTAATATTTTTCACTTTTACTCTATACATATACACATATACACGCAAATTGCCTTGCCAGTTCTCAGCAGCCATTCGTTGGTTTAATGTATTTGTATTCGCTCTTTTCCCCATTAACTCACGAATACATGAGCTGAAGTAAATGCATAGAAGTAAAGTGAAAAACTTTCGTTTTTGAATTTATTTCCAACTAACTTTCAACAACAAATTAGAGCGAAAAGTATGTAAATATTTTTTTTACATTTATTTCCTTCTTTTCTCTGCTTTCCTCTAGGTTGAACTGTTGTGTCCGTTGAATGCTGACGATCCTATCACTTATGCTGAACAACAAACGCAACAACAACAGCCGCAGCAGCAGCCGGAAGGTCCAGCGGCGGCAACGCATCAGCTATGGGACACTGTATCATTGGAGCCAATCGATCAGGAATTCCTGCAATCACATCAAATACAAATTGAAAATAAATTCATTGCAGTTGAATGGATTTTGAAATGCGAATGCAGTAAACATGTGAGTAGCGCATGTGGAATTATGTACTTAATGCATATAAGCCTTTCACTGCGAAAAGTCACTTAGGTAGCTGGAGCTTGTAAAAACTTTTCTAATTTATTTACGGAGATAAAACTGTCATTATGTTGTTATCTGAGAATTATTCGACTCTCAATGAGCGAAGGAATGAATGAGAGCCCTTGATCGATACGAGAGTTGCCTTTTACATTTCGGAATTCGGCAACCCTTGCGTTGAAATCCGGCAACTGAAAACTTTATTGTATAATTTGACATTTTTGATGTTATTCACACTCGGAAAATTTGATGTACGAACCCGTTTGTATTGTTTGAGTGACCGAAAATATTCATCTGCGCATCGGTGCACTTAACTCAATTTGTAGCAATGCAGCTCCATCAAGCACTAATGTTTATCGGTGTTATTGTGAATGCAATCAAGGTCAAAAATAACAAGACAAACTCAGAAAAGGCCTTCCAAAATCATTTGTTCTCCCGGAAACTGTTGATACTGTGAGCAAACTAGTATAGAAAGGCCGTCATGTGGCTTATCATTTTATTGAGACAACTATAGGCAATAGTGGGACTAGCAAACATTCGTTATTTTATAAACATTAATATTAAAAATATTATATTAACTAATTTTTTTATTTGCTTCTTTTTATTTTGTTTTTATTTTATTATATTTGCTTTTTTATTTTAATTTATTTAATTTTTTATTTGATTATTTTTATTTTGTTTGATTTTGTTTTATTTTATTTGCATTTTAATTTATTTAATTTGATTTAAATGAATTTGTTTATATTTGATTTTTTTTTAGTCTTATTATAGCATATTTCATTATTTTATTTTATTTATACATTTATTATTTTATTTCATATTATTTTTTTATTTGATTATTTATATTTCATCCTATTTTATTTTGTTTTATTTTAATTTTTTTTTTTTATCTTAATTAATTTTATTTTATATTGCTTTATTTTATCTTATTTTTATTTTATATTATTTAATTTTATTTTGTTTTTATTTTATATTTTTAATTTCATTTTAATTACTTTATTTTATTAAATTTTATTTTACCTTATATTTTTTTTTTTAGTTTATTTTATTTTCTTATAATATTTCAATTTATTTTATTTAATATAATTTGTTTTAGTTTATTTTTTTTATGTAATTTAATCTTATTTTTTTTTTAATTTATTTTATTTCNGCAATTGCTGAAAAAAGTCCGATTTTGGCCAATCGCAAAGGAGTTCTTTTCTTTTAATCAATTTTGTTTAATGTGAAATTAATTTTAATTAATTAAATTATAAAATATGTTTATATTATTTTTAAATTTAATTATTTTTTCCTCCCTCCTGCAGCATGTCAGAAGAAATATGTACATTCATCTATTTTTCTTTTAAATGGCCTTCACATTAACAGTACTTGGACGTATATGACTTTAAGTGTAATTTTAATTTTATGTCCAGAGCAATATGTTCTTCACCACATCCCAATATTTTGAATGACTCATAAGAATCCATTGTGCTCTGTACAACATAAATCATTATTATATTACTTATTTACTGAAAACATTAAAATTACACGTTATTTTACAAAATTATAAAGAAGCAGAAAACAATATGAGCTGTGTACCATAAAAAAGGCAACAAAATGAAAGCTTTCTCAGAATGACCGACCATTAGGCCACTCCTATGCAGGTATAATAAATATATGAGTATGGAAAATGAGTAAATAATTGAATTCGATGCAAAAGGAAAGGAAAACACAGACCAAGAGCACTTCAATAAAAATTGCTAACATTAATAAAATCACCAGCAGGGAGTAGCAAAAGAATACATTTATGTGAAAGTAGCCAACGCTCACCAAATGTGATTTAGAGGAAGGCAGGAATACAAAATCGTGCTGAGACCTGGGCAGGACAAAGGATTGTTGCATATAAAAAATTTCAATCTTAGCAACAGCAATAAAATTAAAACGAAATAAAAAAGAAAACAGTAAATATAAGCTGTGGCAACAATAAAAACCAAAAGGGATACGTGAAATCACGATAAACAAAAAAGTCAAAAACAATATTTTTTCATATAAGAAAAGCAAGCAATATAAAAGGCTCGTCACCAACAAATCGAAAAAGTAATGCCACAACAAGAGATATTGCTTAGGACCACTATAGATATTACATGGAAATGTTGAGTGTTTCACCGAATAAATCTGTAAATGATTGAGAAAGAAGAACATCGAAGGATATTGACTGTTTGGTAGGAGAGGGTCAAGTGAATGCGATTAAAATGACAAGTGAAAACAATTTCCGCTTGAATGGCAGAATAATAACGGATATAAGATTTTTTTATATACAACATTGTATACATATATGTATATATGTATGTATTTCTTCTCTCCTACATTTAAGATTCTTATTCAAAGTAAGAATGCTGTGGGGAATAGGCACAAAAGAACATTGAATCAATAAATATTCGAAGGCACAAAGAAAAGTAATCAACAAATTGAAAGCAAATACATGAGCACATACATACGCGTATACCGAGCAGATACATATTGGCTATATTTAAACGATTATTGTATGACCAAAAGTATTGTCTTAGCCGAATATTTAGCTAGGAAGCTTTGTTTTGGGCTAATTTTAGGTTTAGTAAATTTTATTCCACTTTAAATCATTTAACTTTTTTTATTGTTTTATAATTTATGTACAAGAAATTGTATTTATCTTAACTTTGGTCCGAAATATATTTGTAGCAGAGGGGAATGGGCTGGGTCCGTCAAAATGTGCCGATATCGTTAGAACGAGCTGAGTTGATTAATCAAATCCAACTACACGGCTTTCCATCCATCCGTCTAAATTTATTAGCCCATAAAAAATAATTCATTTATTTTTCATTTACTTGGAGACTTTTTGCATTGTTTTGCTTAATTTTAATGACTACCTTTTATAAACCCTATCCCCATTTGGAAAATCAGTTCTTAAGGTTAATTCTTCACCAGCCAAATCATTCGCCATAGAGAGGAACCGAAGGTAATCACACTGTGTGATGTCCGGCTTATAAAGCAGATGCATAAAAACTTCCTAATCAAGCTTCTGGCGCGTCACTATTGTGGCGTTGTCCTGATGAAACACAATTCCCCTCCTTCGCTTGGTGCAAAATCCGGACTAATAGGTGGATGCATGAAACTCCACAACCAATAGCGAATATTTCAAGACTTTGACAGGCACTGCTGCTGTAGCTAAAGTTCGCAATGACTCAAAAAAGGTATTTGGGGATGATCTTCTTTTCGGCGCCCAATTTTATTCGAAACAATCGAACGAAGCAATAATAAATATTTTGATATGCGTTAAAAGGGTGAATTTCTCCAAATTCTAAAATAAATATGAATTTCCTAAAACTCGTTCCTGCATTCACCTTTGGAGAAATACAATTAAGAAATAGGAGAAAAATCGATTCAATCATTTCTGAGAAATCGCGTTCTCCGACTTTTAAAAGTGCAATACAATCTTCCTCATGCTAAAAAGGTTTACGGTACAATGGACTGCCGAAGTCTTAAAGATAAGGAAATGTTCAAGCGTGCGCTTAACATGGCCCTACCCTAACCAAAAACTACATCTTTTTGTACGCATCCTTATGCGTCTTTGGCATTTAACCGGAACGGAGAACGGTTGACACTTTTATTCAATTAATTATCAATAATACAAACTAATTAAATAAAAATTAATTTGTAATAAATAAAAAATATTGTTAATACGTGTGCTTTATTTTAAAATACTCACAAAGAGATCCCCGCGTAAGATAATTTATTTTGCAACATCTCAGAATGAAGAAAGGAAGAAGTGATTTGCGATGCCAAGGAAAGACTTTGGGGAATAACAGAAACATTTTTCTGTTGAGAATATATCAGAATAAAACCTAAATAAATCCAGGGAAATATTTGTTTAGATTATTTTATAGCAGCCCTTTGGATTTAATTTGATATTTTAATAATATTACCAATGTCCGTATTGATGTGTAAATATAAATATGTAAATTATATAATCAATATGGTTAAGCAAACATTGCAAATAGTTGTAAGCCAAATAATCGGATATTATCTTCCATTTTGATATTAATTACTTCCCAACTCTCTAAATACTTGACACATATTTGTATGTATATCAGTATGTATTTGTGATTGGTTTTCGTCAATTATCGACATGTATATATATGTATGCATGTATGAAATAAATCAAAATGCAGATTTACTAATTTGCATACTTATTTACATACAAACAAGCAACCACAGAGAATCCTGTTAATTTAGTTATCTTTGGTGTGATTACCAGACGAATTACGCAGCTCATAAATCTCTGGGATTTAGCAAATTTGCAACATTTTGTAATTTGCAGATAAATGAAAGGCTCAATGAACATATGTTTGGTGTTCTAATGTAAGTTTAATTATAATGCACGTTTGCTGATGGAAACCCATTCAGGATTTTGGATATTCTTGGCATGTGATGTAATTAAAAATAATATAAACAACACTAAAATAAAACAAAGCATGATGAAATAAAAATAAAAACAAAATATTAAAAACAACATAATTAAATTAAATTAAACAAAATAAAGTGAAAAAAGGTAAAATAAATTAATAAACAAAATAAAAAAACAAACAATTTAAATAAAATAAAGCAAAATTAACTAAAATAAAATACAAAAATATCGTACTTAATAGTTGTTGGTTTATAATGAATAGAAAAGTACAACAACATATTATATGGCGCAGTGGTAGAGCACTCGTTTGTTAACCCTTTCGCGTCTATTACTCGTATCATTGGCCTTCTGTCACCTCTCACTGCGTCACTATTGTCACTACTGCGGTTATTCTCTGTATCTTGAAGCTCTCTGTGTACAGCCGAAATTTCCTCCATATGCATCGTGAAATCGAACTCATCTTCAATTGAACTTAATTCAGGATCACCTTCCAGGTTTTCAGGGATCAAAAACATTAAATTCTGTAGTCTCACTGTCACGACTGTCGGTTTCGAACTAATGCCAAAAACCGGACTGCGTGGTTGCGGACTAATCTCAGGTAAGAAAATCTTATCTCCATTTCCCTTTATACTTTATAAGATTATATAGAAAGAGCGAAAAAACCTGCGTAAAAGAAAGTAAACGAAAACAGTTAGTCCCGCGTATCGAGTTACCGCAGCAAACCAAGTGGTGAGTGAGAGTCACCACTCGAGATTTGGTAGCACAACCCGTGATAAGTGAGAGTAACCTCTCTAGGGCAAAGGGTTAAATCCGCATCCGTTGGTTCGATCACCGCCATAAGATGTCTGATGAGAAGATATGGTGATCTCCACAACAGCTGTCACTTAACCATTTTTCTTTGTTGTATAATACAAATATTCAAACCAGGCCTTTAGTTTACTTAAAACTTATGAGAAAAATTAATATATAGTATGGCCGTAAAACTAATTATTAATAAAAGACATTAAATAAAATAATATAAAGTAAAAGAAAAATAAAATAAATTAAAAATTATTAAAGAAAAAAACAAGAAAGAAGGATTATCTTCGGTCATGCGAAAAACCTTCATACCTTTCATGGCTAGATCTAATTACTCTAAATTTCCATTTAAGATAAAGAATTGACTTTCATGTCCAATCATATTCCGATTTCGATTATTGCCAGTGCCAAGTTTAATGCTCTTGGCTGCTTTCTTGACAAGTTTTTAACACAAAATCTGAGATCTGCAAAATCGGCTGTGTATGTATATGTGATAATGATCGTTTAAATGTAACGGTGCATCTGTATAGAAAATTTGGTTGAAATATCTGAAATACTGAGGACTTAGTTTGCATCAAATATACAGCCCGACGAGCATGGCTAAATCAACTCAACTCGACATTCTGTTCATATCAGTGTAAATTTTTAGGGATTCATCTCTTTTCCTTCTCGTTCTTTTGCACACAATGCTTTGTACCAAGTTAATATATCATTTCGATAAGGCGTATCTTTTTGGAAAACTTACAACACTCTTAATTCAACAAATTAAAGAAATATTACTTCTGATTTCATTCAAAATTCTAGTTCATAAATTCACTAAACGGAGATTTTGAACATAACCTAGCTTTTTTTGAAGAATCTTTTTAGCCGATAAAGCTGTTAATTTTTTCGAAGAAGTTACTTTAGTTGCCTAGAAGCTCTACAGAATTAGCGCAATCACGTCACGATGTCCTGAGAAAAAATGGCTTCTTGATGTGTCAAAGTGTTTTTTTGATATCAAAATCTCCTGAAATAATACGACCCATTTTTGTTTACTGCTAAACACATTGCTCTCATACTAAAGCCTTTAAATTATTACTATTCACCTTGAAAAAAAGAGATGTATTAAATATTTTTGAATAATGGATATTTTGTATTTTTAAAGTGCTACCAAATTCGTTGCTTAAAAAGAACTAACCTTTTTTTAACAACTAATATTTTCTTTTTGATATTCTATCACTTCGCACACATTTTTTTAATTAAAAATAACTATTTCTTATTTTATTATAACTATGACCCTTTTAATATTGATTCTCAAACTCTTTATATATTTTTATTGGTAGTTACTGCCTTTAATTCTTCTATAATGCCGTAAAAAGCACCTTAAGTTATTAAAAAAATCTTTTCAGAGCATCAAATTTTAACGAATATTCCGACTTGATTTCAATGGAAAAGAAATTCTGAGCTCTCTTCCCATAGAATACACATAAAATGCACAATCACACACATAAAATAAAAAATAAATACTCGGATACAAAATATTTTTAAGTAGCTTTTCTTGACTGTCTCGTCTGCAATTTTATTGCCAATCAAATTTTATGATTATCAGGCAATAAATGAAAGTTATATGCAACATCAAGCACGTACGAATTATATATGAAGATAAATATGTGCATACATACAAATATATTTATTTATTTATAAGAGAACATACAGATTTGTTTATATGTATTATATGAAAAATTTATATTTATGTAAATGCAAGTATTTTTTACAGAATTATTTTGTCGATTTAAGCGATTTAAAAATGCAATAAGATTTGAAATCACTTTTTTCAATTTTTTTTTATTAATATTTTCTAATATTTTCCTCAATTCTTATCATTTGTTTTCGTTTCGTTCACAACAAATTGAACACAAATGCCAGCAAACACTTTTCTAACTGCCTATTCTACTTCTTTCTCTTTTATTTTCATCAACTTCCCATTGTTGCCGCAATTCGGTTTGTATAATAGGAAAATTGCAACAACCAGCATGGATATGCAACAAAAGCAACAACAACAACAACAACAATGGATAATAACACCAAACAGAGTAATAATGGCAGCGATGTTAGCCACAATAGTGGACAACAACAAAACACCGACATCATCAGCACCAGCAACAACAATAGCCATAACAACAACAACATAAATGACAGTATCAGCAATGGCAAAAGCACCGTTAGCAGTTGGCGCACAAGTGCCATTACCGTTGTTGACCACAAGAATAATAAAAATGCGGCGACAAATATTATTGGCGCAACAACACGCAGCAACAATGGTGACAATGCGTACGACAACAACAGCAATAACAAATACAGCAACAATAATAATAGTAACAACAACAGTTATGCAACAAACAATTTGAACACAAGTGGCTATGGCAATAACAAGCAAAACATGGCAAACAGCAATCATGACAACAACAACAACAACAACAACAACAACAAAAACAAAAACAAAAGCAATGAAGAAGGCATTGCTGCGTACAATGGCAATGATAATCGCCAAGAGCAGAGGCAACTGAAAGTGGAAGATGGGGCTGAGGATGAGGATGAGGATGAGGATGAGAATGAGAATGAGAGCGATAACGAAAGTACGCGCCAACAACAACTAGAAGAAGAACAACAGCAGCAGGAACATTTATTGTCATCAAGTGAATTGCAACCAGACATAATACCATATCCGGCTATGTTGCCACCGCATCGCAGCAGCGGTAGCATGGAAAAGCAATGGACACAACTGAGGAAAACTGAAAAGAGCGAGCAGCACAACAACCACAACAACAATCTCAGCAATATGTATGAGCTTGACAGCAAACGCGCGTACACGGGGCACTACAACGGCAACAACACCAATAATATTAATAATAACAACAAAGAAAACGGTAGGAATAACAACAACATCGCCATGGATTTGGGAAGTGCCGCTACAACAAACAGCAATTTTGTTGCTGCTGGTTTTGGTTTTTATGCGCGCGACGTCGATGAGGGCGTTGATGATGCGGCTGTTGGACATAACCAGCGTGTCGAAAGTGTGAAGCAAAACGAGAGTAGCGAACAACAACAACAACAACAGCTGCTACAAAACACGCTTGCAGCAATGGAACAGCATGACGAAGACCAGGAGGAGGCATGGCAGGCAGAACAAAAGCAACTACAACAACAACGAACCCAACTGCCGGAGTGGCAAGCTGCGAAAAATTTGCATTACGCATCATACCACCAACAACAACATCAACACCACCACCACCAGCATCACCAGCATCACCATCATCACCATCTGCTGGAGCAATTCAACCAGCAAGAGCAACGCCAGCAACATAATCACCATCACCAGCACCAACATCATACACAACATCATCAGACACATCCAAATCCGCAGCTGCAACAATTGCTTTGGTCAGACCAACTGGACCAAGTACAGCAAACAACCGAACTGCACATGCCACACCAACGCAGAACATAACAACGCAGACGCGCACCACAAACGCATCGTCAACGTTGGCCGCCAAGGCGTAAGGGTGGACGCGGTAAAAAGAGAAAATCCGGCAACGCAGCAAAGCGACGTAGTCACAACGGAGCCCCATCGCTGAGGGACGAGAGGACGGTCGGGGCGTTGGCGTATGGCAAGCAAATGGGCACTACATAAATAAATAACTAAGCGACACACCGATAAGCTGAACAAGGAAGAACAACAAAAACCATACTCGTATTTTGTAAGGCGAGGAGCGAAGGAAAAAGGCAAAAGAAAAAAGAAAAAAAATTAAAAATTCAAAGAAAAAAGTAAGCGATAAGCAGTAAAATAGTGCAGTAGTAAGTGTGGGTGTGCCTGCGTGTTTGTTGAATGCGGACTATTTGAGCGCTTAATGACAGCCGGACCAATGGACGAAGCACTACACCAAGGAATACACATTAACACAGAGACCGAAGCAATAAAGGAAGCAACATCGTACATCCACAGCATACACTTGTAGCCCAAAGTGCACGGCACACAATAGACAGACACCACAAACGGACTATGGGCGCACAACAGAGTCGAAGCACAGACCGGACCAGACGAGCAACAAACAGAAGTTGCCACTTTTGCATATCACAAAGCATATAAATTTTTAATTTCCAACAATACAAAAACACACAACAAAAACGTTGCCAACATGGTGTGGTGAGCGTGTTGCAGGGGATAGTTACAACAACAATATTTGTAAATGAATAAGGGGATGGGCAGAAAACAGAGACAAAAATCATCGTGTAAAAAGTTGTCGCTACACTAACCAAAAACAACACGGACCGAGCACCAATGCAGATATATTAAAGAAAAAAATGAAATTTCGCTTTGCGTTCGCTGTTTTATTTGAAATATATATGTATATTTTTTTTTTTTTGTTTTTAACTCAGCACATTGACAGATTAAGAGAATATTTTATGCTTTGAGTAAATTAAATATCGGAACTTCTGGGTCTGAAAACCCGTAGATTCTACTCTTTTCATTGAGATTGTTTATTATCTTCTTACTTAATCAATCACCGTTAATCTGTTTTGAACTTAAGAAAATAAATTAATTGAGCCTGACAATGCGACATCGTAGCGAAATCTCGTTAAAAAGTTAAATTTACCAAAATATTGCACACTTCGATCCGTTTAAAATAGTTTTCAGGCACATATCGAGCGATATCTCAGCCATAACTTGACTGATGTTTGTTTTGAAGGGCTCGAGATGTAAAGGCTTAATTACGCAAACACGATCTGTTGCGTAGCTGCACAAACAAACGTCCGACGGTGTCCGACGGTGAGAGATATTGCGTTCGGGAACACTCTCTTGAAATAAAGAAATATTCGCTGGTATTGTCTTTTGTATAAATTGTGTTCTTTTCAAAATAGGAATATATATTACATCTTCCGACAAAGAGCGCACTATTTGAAACTTTTTTTTTTTTTAAGGTGTAATGGCCTCTCTTTATTTATTCAAAGATTCTCGGAGCGCCAAGTGCGACATAAACTTTGTTAATCCTCCAGTGAGAAATGGAGAAGAAGTTTTACCTCAAAAAACCATCGTTGCTTGTTGTTCAAGTCCCAGCTCTTGCGAACGTCGATAAATGGAAAGATTTCGGTCTTGGGCACACTTTCTTTTACATTATCGATGTTTGAGGTGGAACGAACAAAACGATGATGCACATGCAACGGAGTTGCTTTACAAATTTACCAATTCCTGGAGTAGCCTGACGATTATGTGGATCATAATCTTCTCTTCAAGCACGAAACGTTGCCTTGTTTGGATAACCATTTTTGTTGTAGGTTTTAAGAGTTTTAAGTCAAAGAGAGCATATTTGGATTAACAATTAAATTTGACAATTATAAAAATACAAAACTGCACTTACATTTATTTAATTAGTTCAAAATTACCGTTATACAGCGCAACTGTCGGAATTTCTGCTGCCTGCCTCGGTGTCGATAAGAGTATCCATTTATTTAATAATTTCATAAAAATATGACAAAAATTATAACGCTTTTATTTTTCTTCTACTAATTTAAGGAAGAATAATAATAATTGTATATAATTGTATTTCAATGCACATACATATATATGTATGTACAATGTGCAAGTGATAACTCGAAAATTTAGTCTAAATTCGTTAAAGCAAATCTACAATACATTAGTAAATAAAAAAGTTAAAGTAAAATTAAAATTAAAAATTAAAAAAGTTAAAAAAGAAAAACAAGATAATATTATAATAATTATTAATAACATAATTAAATTATTATAACAAAATAATAATAATAATAACTAATAATAAATAAAGTAAAACAAAAATAGTGATAAAGCTTGAAATGAAAATCAGAAAAAAATTACGTTTAAATAACAAAAGTAAAATTTACTATTTAAAATAAATATAAATGATTAAATAATGAAAGTTTTAATGAAAAAAAATTTAATGTAAATTAAGAAAAAAATTTTAAAAATATAAAAATATTAAAACAAAAATAATATGTAAAATTTATTAATTAAGCAAATGTAAAAATTAAATATATGAAATATTAATGGTAAAAAAATAAAAAAGTTATAAACAAAAAAATATAGAAACAAAAGTTAAAAAATGAAAATGAAAATACCAACCCAGGCTATAAATATAAATCTTGAAAAAAAATTAAACTTGATATTAAAACTAAAATTAATAAGCAAATAAAATGCGCAAAGCATATAAGAAAGGAAAACAAATATTTTTGCGAGCAAGTATATACATGAAAAAACAACTAAAAATTATAAGCGACTAAGAAATTATTTCAATACAAAAACAAAACAAATAATAAAAGTAAAGAAAATAAAATAAAAAGTAGAAAAAAAATTAACGCCTAATTCAAGAACACTTTACCAAAGTACATATGTATGTAGTCGCAATTATTTATTTATATGTATAATATTTAGTTATGTAAGCTTCTATGATACTAAAACTAAGTTTGGCTTATAAGAAGAATATTAAAAGAAAATATAAATGAAAACAACATAATGTGAAGAATGCGGCGAAAATGAATCTGCAAATTCCGATTGGTAAAAACCTAAATAAAATAATTAGAAATTTAAAAGAAATTAATATAAAAACACTTTTGAATTTTCACTTGCAACCAGCAAAAGCACAGAGTTGTTGTTGGCGTACAACTTGAGCGTAAAATGATCTAAATTGTCTAAAGCAAAAATAAAAAAAAACAAACAGAAAATTTATGTGTATGTAAATGCAAATAAATAAATAATTGCATGTAAGAAAAGCAAAAACAAAATAAACCACAATAATGTAAAAACGTTAAATAAATAATAAATAAATATAAATATAAATATATATATTTGTATGTATGTATTCATAAGTATTAAATGTATTTATATTGTAATATGTACTTGCAATATACCGTTTAACGTACATATGTATGTACTTAAATGACGATTGTATAGCAAGACATAATAAGCAGCGGTTTTTTCCCAAATAACAAAAGAAAGAAATAATAATAATAAATGGAAATTGGAAAAGACTAAATCCTTTCCATTACGCATATTGGGAAATGATGTGCGTGTGTGTATAAGCCATAAAAGGCTATACCAGGAATATAAAAACCCTAAACTACTACATATCTACATATACATATTCTATATCTGTGTATCTGTGTGTTTACTAAAAAGGATGCCTGGCATTCGTGTAATGAGAATTTTCGAATAAGGCATATACTCGTATGTATCTAAGCTTTAAGTAATTGGTTTTTTGTTTTTTTTTTTCTCTTCAAAGTTTTCTATATAAAAAATTTCTTTGTAGTGAATTTCATGTGCTTAACACATTCATTGGGAATCAATTATAATTTTATTATATTTTACTCAATTTACTTTTACTAAATTATTTATTTTAAGGCGATGGAAAATACAAGTGAATTCAATAAAAGACGAAACTATATTTTAAACAGAAAAATTGTGCTATTTTTTTTCATTGCAACGGCATCGCTTTGTGACGTAAGTACATCTACATATTAGGTTGTCAAATATCTCCCTTCCGCTTTTTTGTCTTTTGAATTTCGCGGCTATGTACAAAGCGCTACAGAGCTCGTATCTGGCAACACTATACATAATTTGAATATTGCGTTCAACAGTTATAGACGTGTAAACATGGAGTTCACTAACGCCGAAATTCGCGCTATTTTAAAGTTTTCCTTCGTTAAAGGCAAATCCGCTAGAGAAACGTTCTGTGAGATTAATGATGCTTTGGGGGATGGTACTCTATCACTTCGAACCGCGGAGGAATGGTTTCGACGATTCAGAGCTGGTGAAAACGACACCATGGATAAGCCAGCCGGCGGTAGATCTGTGACGACAAATACCGATCAAATCATGGAATACATCGAGTTAGACCGTCATATGGCATCTCGTGACATCGCCCAAGAGATGGGAGTTGGTCACCAAACCATTTTGGACCATCTGCAGAAGGCTGGATACAAAAAAAGTTTGATGTTTGGGTGCCGCATAATTTGACGCAAAAAAACCTTCTTGACCGAATCAACCTCTGCGATATGCTGCTGAAACGGAACGAACTTGACCCATTTTTGAAGCGGATGGTGACTGGCGACGAAAAATGGATCACATAGGACAATATCAAGCGAAAACGGTCGTGGTCGAGGGCCGGTGAATCGTCCCAAACAGTGGCCAAGCCGGGATTGACGGCCAGGAAGGTCTTGCAGTGTGTTTGGTGGGATTGGAAGGGAATCATCCACTATGAGCTGCTCCCATATGGCCAGACGCTTAATTCTACCATCTACTGCGAACAACTGGACCGCTTGAAGCAGGCGATCGACCAGAAGCGTCCAGAATTGGCCAACAGGAAGGGTGTAGTGTTCCACACACTTCGTTGATGACACGTCAGAAGCTACTGGAGCTCGGATGGGAGGTTTTAACGCATCCACCATATAGTCCGGACGTAATAGATCATGTAAAAAGTTCGTTCGGGTTTTATCTAAAAGATGACGTTGTTGTCCATGCAATCTTCAACGAGCTGATCCCCTATGGCCAAACGCTCAAATCGGCCCTCTACTGCCAACAAATAACTGCTTGAAGGCAGCGCTCATCCAAAAGAGGCCAGCTTTGATAAACAGAGGCCGAATTGTGTTCCATCAGTACAACGCTACACACGTCTGTGGTGATGCGCCAGAAGCTCCAGGATCATGGATGAGAGGTCCTAATGCACCCACCTTATAGTCCGGACCTGGCACCAAGTGATTACCATCTCTTCCTGTCCATGGCGAACGCGCTTAATGGTGAGAAGTTGGCCTCAAGAGAGGCCTGTGAAAATTGGCTCTCCGAGTTTTTTGCCAATAGGAACGAAACCTTGTACGAGGGGTATAATGAAGTTGTCTTCTCGTTGGCAATACGTTTACGAACAAAACGGCGCATATTTAACTTAGATCGGACAAATTTATCCAGAGTTATCCTATTTTGAAAAATCAATAAAAACGGAACGAACTTTTTACTTGACCTAATATTTTATAGGTGGTCTTCATCGTGTCTGCTATACAAAGTAGACAGCAGGTAGCATATGTTCCAAACGCTTACTACGGCACTTCATCTTTATTGTCGCCCACCAAACTAGTGAACCATATGTTAGCATGGCTCTTGCGACACGTTTGAAAAGCCAACGCACCACAAGGGGTTGTAGCGCCCATTTTGGTGCAATATCTTTACTGCAGACGGTCCAAATTCGGTCCTGCTTTCAACATATTCCCTTCACACTACCAGATAAATGACCCTCTTGCTTTGTGATTCTTATATATGTTTTAATTGAAAATTATAGAAAATACAATAAAAATTAACTGAACAGCTATTGAGTTGACAGTTTTGTCATATCGTCAATACGTCATAAAGACATTTTAAATAAGTAAAATCCCTTGTGATATTTCTTAGCCCATATCATGTAAAACCAGTTGATTGAAAACCTTTTGACATTTGTTGTTATCCTTTTCCATTTAATGGCATGTAAACATGACCACAGTAGAAAAGTAGACAAATAATGACATATTGAATGTTAATATCAACGAAGAAGAATGTGTTGATTGATCATTGTAGTAATTTGACAACAATGGATGAAAGTGCTTACAAACACACACACAGCCATATAAAGCGGAGATTGGTCTCTTATGCAACTCTAGTATTCTGATAATCACTCAGTGCATTGCCTGTCATTCATGTCACAATCATTCACTCAATAAACTCACATGCCAATTGTCATTCAACTCAGCAGACTTACGCACACATACTCATACTCTCAGCTATACTCACTCGACTGAGACACTGGTCATGCGAGCATAAAGTAAACATAAAACTGTCCACAAATAAATATTTTTACTGATTCAACAATTCCGTGCAGCTCACACATATTTACCCACTCCCAAGGCGCACACAAGCCAGATGAGGGAAGAGGTCATTAGCAAACACTCAGACGGAGAGACAAAAAGCAAAGGAAACTATTTGCCAAAGCAGAGAAATGATTTACCGACAAAAATTATTAGATAAGAGTAGACGAAAAGACAAATAGACGAAATGACGGAGGGAGTGTGCGAGGGAGAAGGAACCCCGGCAAAGAAAGTGACAATGTGTTGGCATAAAGAACGTAGAATGTAAGGAGAATGTTGTAGTGAATAATCACAATGCAAAGACAACATGATGGCAAATGATTGACAAGCACAACGACATGCTGTTGCATGCCACACAAAATGAATGCTTCGATGGTCATAGCCATAGCCAGAATGGCAGTGAATGGAGAGTAGGTTGGAGAGTTGGTTGGAGAATGCTGAAAGCAGAATCATAATGTTGTTAATAATTCATGAATTTTGACAGGAAATTATCATCACCCCCGCCGTTTGGTCACTTGTAATAAGCGGTCAACGAACTGTATTTACATAAGAAATGAAGAAAACGAAAAGGAAGAGTTGAATGAGATGAAGGCCTGAAATCTGAGCTTAACAGAAAACCATATATTTATCTAAAAATTATTCCAAAAGCACTAAAATAGAATAAAAAGATTGCTGAGGGAATTTAACTTAATTTCTATATCAATGCTTCGGAACGGCGACTCCCCCAACCTCTTTTGACCTTGCTAAAAATTAATAAATTCGTTTAAAGCTGATGATGACTTCTCTCAGACATCAGCTGGACTCACACCAGCACACTTGAGCCTATCAAGTTTTTATTGATACGAACCCTTCACGACACATACGCGATCGCATCTCTTTCTCCAGAGTCACTATCTCCAGAGTCGATGTTATGATCTCAGCCACGCAGTTCTAAAACACAAGAGCTACGTGTGTTGTCCATCATAACATGATTCATTTGGATTCAAGTTTGCCGGTCCAGTCACACCTCATACTAGATCTAGATATCAGAGAAAACCTAAATTCAGGCCCCGACGAAAACGATTAGCCTCAGACCTTTAAGACAAGTTTTGTCGTGAACTCAAAGTTTTTCGGCTGCTTCGAGGATATCTTATTTGTCTATTTTGGCGCTGAAGCCATTGGATACAATTTTATGTCGTGGCAGTGGCGGTGCCCATGCATGACTATACACCTGGTGTTTGCCATCTTTGGTCAAATCGGCCTTCTATTCCATTCGAGATGTTGAAAATTTTCTCTTTGCTGTGGATTGTGCTTAGACTCAACACAAGGCAATGTGCGCTTTTATATGGCTAATGTGATAAACCTGCCATGGCATGTTTGCCATGGGCCCACATTTATATAGCGAGGACACCTACGATTGCTCATAAAAAAGAACTAAGCCGAATCAAGCTTTCCGGATCTTACAATTTCTACCTTGAACCAGAAGGGTGTCTTACATGTTCAGGCACTAGCCCAGCAAGTGCTGATTATGCTCAAGGTTCAACTGGCCATAACCTGATCTCATAGTAGCAGAAGTATCTGGAATTAACGATTCGTGCCGGTTGAGGTACAAGTCAAGCACACCAAACAACTACAACCAAAACGATACGTAAAGATCTCTAACACTTACACTTGAATTCCCAACGAACTATTTCTAGCCGATATCCCTGAAATTCCCCCTTTAAAAGGAAACAAGTGCAGTTTCACTACTGGTATGACTTCCGTCTTTTATCTCCCAACGGATGAAATATCCGCTTCCGTGGTCATAAATTTTCTTCCGATTCTTGATTCGCTTTAAGAGCGCCGTAAATCGTTCTCTCATACGAGTGAGGGCAATACCGAGAAAAAAATTACTTCAACCTCCTTTCTTTCTTAAAATAAGGGAAATCTCTCTTTACTCCTTCAAATATATTACTAAGAGTTCCCATAGAATTCTATTGTATTTCTGAGAGAAGCTTCACGCTGAGTATATATATATATACATATATATTTAGCACTCTCGCACTTACTCTTCGCTATCAGCGTCCAAGCAACGCCGCTGAAAACCAGTCGATTTGCGAATGCTGAATAGACAAAACGTCTGTCACACACATCGTTTGCTTATCAATAAGACAATCTACAAGCAACTGCCTACAACAGCGATTTCAGTTGGTGTGATTAGCAAACCAGCAATTGAAGGGAATGGAATCCGCGTCCATTGTAATTATCGGAGCTGGCGCTGCCGGCATAGCTGCTGCGACGCGCCTCTTACAATTTGGATTCCTGAACGTTTTAGTGCTTGAAGCTGAAAATCGTTACGGTGGACGCATACACACCATACCTTTTGCGGATAATGTTGTCGATCTGGGCGCACAATGGTGTCACGGTGAGAAGGGTAATGTCGTGTATGAGTTGACGCGTGATTTGGACATGCTGGCCTCTGCACACGACCAACTTGGCGGCTATAGCTTCGTGCGGTCGAACAGAGAGGTGATCAACGGAACGCTGACTGCGAAATTCAAAACTATTGTATCGAATATAGAATCCAAGATATATGAGGAATTAGAAGATTATGAAGGTTCATTGGGCACTTATCTCACAGAAAGTTTTTGGAGTGATTTAGGACCTTTAGGGAAGGAGGATAAAACCGTAGCGCGGGAGTTTTTCGAGAACTACAAGAAAATGCAGTGCTCAATGGATGGGTCGGATCATCTCTTCGAAGTATCAGGCAAGGGACAACTCGAATATTGGGATTGTGAAGGTGACCACAACCTCAACTGGAAAGATAAAGGTTACCGCAGCTTCTTGCAGTTGCTAATGAAGGCTGATAGTAATGACACGACGGACTTGGGTGTGCTTCGCAAACACACACGGTATAACTCGCACGTTGAGAACATCAAATGGCAGACGCAGGAGGGAAATGTGCGCATACGCCTTTGGAATGGCGAGCTAATCGAGGCTGATCATGTCATTTGCACCGCCTCACTAGGCGTACTTAAAGAGACTCATCCAAAATTGTTCACACCTCCACTACCGAACGCGAAGTGCCGTGCTATTGACGGCCTCAAGTTGGGCACTGTCGATAAATTCTTTCTCGAATTCAAAGAACCCTTCGCGCCTGCTAACGGTACAGGCTTTTCCCTGCTTTGGCGTGAAGAAGACCTGTTGGCGCTGCGCAACTCGGAGTACTTTTGGTTAGAAGGTCTTTTCGGCTTTTATTGCGTCTCTTACCAACCACGTCTCCTGGAAGGCTGGATTATTGGTGCATATGCTCGTCACATGGAAACATTGACGGAAGCGGAGGTGATTAAAGCAGTACTATGGCTTTTCCGAAAATTTTTCACAAACGAAGCGCCCACACCAGTGCGTTTCTTACGCACACGCTGGCACAGCAACCCGAATTTCCGTGGCAGTTACTCCTTCCGTACAATGTATGCAGAAGAGCTGCGCATAGGCAGCGCGGACTTAGCCACACCGCTTTTAGACGCGAAGGACGACCGACCATTGCTGCAATTCGCTGGCGAAGCAACAAGCACTCACCACTATTCGACGGTGCATGGCGCGGTGGAGAGCGGCTGGCGCGAGGCGCAACGTTTGCGTGATTTTTATCAGGCTCATAAGGCACCGTTGTAAGGTCATGAGGTGGTGAAAAAATGGCACTCAATTTGCGAGAGGGCGATCTTGAAAATGATAGCAGCAGTAAGTGGATTTTTCTATAATGTTTATTTTGAACTAAATAAGCTGATAACGGTTTGTTGATGAGTAGCTACTTTATATATAATATTACAAGTGTTGTAAATATATAAGAGTTTATTTTAACAGAAGAATTTTCAGTTTTTGTAAAATTTATAATTTAAAGAGGTGTTTTTCTCGAGAGGTCCACCTTCTGTGCTCTCTTTCAGATTTTCCGATCTCTGCAGTGCATTTCAGGGTGAAATTTCAAATATTCTGGAGACGAAACACTGGAAATTGCGAAAGTCAGGCAGGGATTATGTCGCTTGGCCTGCTTACAATGATTTTAAAAAATGTGGTGGCAAATTAAATGCATTTAAAGACGTTTGTAAATGATGATACAATGCTAGAACTAAGAAAATTTATCGTCCGGTTCCTTATTTGGGAAGATCCCGCTGCCCAAATAAAAAGTAAGCCTGACATAACCGTTGAAGCGATTTTTGGCGGAGCCGCCTCGATGATGGTTTTCCATCAAATGGAGGGACCTCCGAACGGCTGATGTTTAATCGTAGAAAGAAGCACAACTTTCGCCTTGTAATGGAAGAGAGACTCCGACATAAAATACTGGCATTCACCTCGCCTCGCCTCAATCCAAATCAGAGCGAAGACTCTCAACTTTTTCGTTGATTTGCGCTCTCGCCCCGATGGTTTAAAATGACGATATAACCAACCAAATGTTTTCTTTGAGTGTCTAAAACGCACTTGTTAACGGTAAAAACGAATTATGGGACAGTTTTTGATTTTCAAAAATGTTAAAAGAAGAGGTAATACAATAGTGCGTGCCGAGGAGGAGAAGTACTGAGGATTGAAGTGAGTCCGAAGGGGTTTGAAAATTTTGTGAAATAGTACCGCAACCTGCAGATAAAAAGATCAGAGCATGTAAGCATGTGATCCAAAGATGAGAAGACGATGGGCCAAGTACGCGCTTGGGTGATAAATAATGTGCGGCATGGAGCATACATCAGATTCATTACACAACTTGGATGGCGCTTGAGATTTGGCACATAAACAGGAAAAACCCACAGTCTGTGGAAAAGTCTCCTTAGAATAGCATACAAGATTTTAACGCAGGCTCGCAGCAACACTAAAGGCCCAGTCAGAATCAAGAAGGATCTCCCTGAATTGCTTGATATTAAAAAAAGTTTCAGACAAGTTGACTTCTTATCGTGTTTCTTATATGTTATTTTTGAGCCAACTTCACTAACGTTGCGCAAATTAAGCAGAAATAGAAACCATCCAGCATTACACCAATATCGCGGTCAACCATGAAATCTAACGCAAAATCACTTTTGCCAACAGGCACTACTTTGATTACAGTAGGCAAATCGAAAGTAAAGTCCTCTCCCGATGAACGCAAACCAAACTCTACAACATAAGAGGAGTCAGCGTAAGAAATTTTCGAGAGAAAGGCTTTGCGTAAGAGTTATGGTCCTTTTCACGGAGGCAACGGCGGATTCCGCAGACGATGGAACTTTGAGCTTTATGAGAAACAGCGGCTGCACTGGCTAGGTCATGTCGTCCGATTGGATGAGAAAATTCTAGACTTTAGAGTTTTCTATGCGACCTACCTACCGGTAGTAGCAGAAGAAGAGTAAGAGCTCCACTCCGTGGGACGGACAGGAAGGAAGGAAAGATGCGCTGTTGTTAACTTGGCTATAATCGCGCACGCGGTGTCTTCGCAAATACTTACTTCGAATTATCATTGCCTCATTAGAAACCCCACATTTGAAACCCCAAAACTAACATTAACGAATTCGCCGTGAAGGCTTTTTATGAGCATCATCAGTATAAACACACATGCGAGTATGTGTGTGCGTGAGAATGAACTACCTGCTGAACTCGCAATGCAGCGACGTTTAATGTTCATCTCAGAACGAACGTAGAAATGTCATAAAAATGAAAAATAAAACTGGGAAATAACAGTTATTTGCTTGTTTTGCCTCATTTTCTGCTTGTCAAGTGCCAACATTTTTATTTCATTCATTACGTCACTAAATATCAAAAGCGATTATTTCTTTGCCGCATTTATTTGCTCCAGCCATTTATTACCACGCACTAACACAAATACACATACAAGTTTACACGAAGGGCAAAACATAACGTTTCAGCTATTAAATCAGCCATTCGACAGTAAAAATGCGAGAAGGAAGGAAGGCCAAACAGCGACACAACGACACAACGGACATGCAACAACGAACGGAAACCGATGAAAACGCGACAAAACATGCGGCTTTTATGATGACATTTACACACACACACACACACATAACACATATATATTTGTATTTATATATAAATTTATGTGCTTTCGTTGGTGCTTTTTACTCTCCGCACTCACATTGGCAAATATTAAAGTGCGAAGCTGCAGGCGCTATTCGGTGGACGTACGTGTATGTCTGCGTGACAACACACTGTATAGCAGCGTTTGTCATGCAATTGTAATCGTTTAACGATAAGACTACCAAAGATAATTTGGCGCATTTTCAACCGCTGTGTGTTTTACAGCCACATTTCTGCGAGGCATTAAGCCGTGACCACCTCGGCAGTGGGCAGCACAATAAAGATGAAGTAGGAAATGAAGAAAATTCTTATAGCTCAGCATTGGTTTCTACAGTCTAAATTATGAATATCAGACTTAATGAGGCAACGTCTATAAGGCTGAGGACTAACTCGTACAGTACTCGCTAGCAGTGCAGCTTGTAAAAATCATCACTTCTGAGTGCTGTGCTCTTGATATCACCTGTGCAGAATACAGATACAACAGAACACTTCACAACCCTCTTTGCACTTAATTCGCATCTCAATTATTTGCGAATTTAAAGAATTGTCGCGGAACGGATTAAATACCAGGAATTCTGAAATAGAACGCATTGTAACTGAGTTAAAGCTAAATGTGCTAATATTCGATGTTTCTGAACCCTTAAAATGATCTACTCTGCCGGTGTTGATACTTTCGTATTGAGAGGCGACAGCTTTCCTCTCTTCTCTCAGTGCACAGTCCTCCCTTCACTCTACACGCGCTCGGTTGACCATCACGTTAAGCTTTGGTATAAACGATTTGTCGTGCATCAGATGAACAATGTGGCTGCCTCGAAACTTACACTTCCGCCTACAGTGGTCCACTTTAGAAAAGAGAAAACTTAACTTAACATATATTAAAACCAGGCTGATACCAGTGAGAAGTAGCAGATAAAATCAGCTTTTTCGACAATCAAATTTTACTTCTTTAGTAGTCTCGTTTTTCGTGAAACATATATTTTGCTACTCTTATTTTACATTTTAATGGTTGTTATGGAAGTCTTCAACTCTTTGGGATGAAATAAAAAAGAAACCCATAGGGACTGGGCTACAAACTTGTCCAGCAGAAACTTGGCACTCGAATGGAAACACCAGAGCTAAACGCGAGCAACTTGAAAAATATCGTTTCCGTATTATTTTTACCATAAATTTTCAATAAACTAACTGCTTTAAAAGTATTTTGAAGCTAACTAAAAAATTTGAGTGTAGCAGCGCAGTTAAATTAACCCGTTTAACCTAACCTAACCTATCTGAAACATGGTGTACTGATGTATCATTCCCTTAAACGGGCCGCAGAGCGAGCATCCATATCCGGACCAGCCCTCTGGAATGTGAACCAAGACGGACACGTGTGGAAAATCAAGCGATGTAACTGCAAGAAAAAAGATCGAAGCTTCTAGCTTCGTCGCAAGCACTACTTCGATAAAAATCATAAGCTACCTCGGCGTGAGATTAGACTCGCTGTTGATATTCTGGACATAAACACACTATGCAGCAACAAAATCTGAGAAGATAACGCCACAACTTAGCACGAAAATAGCTAACATTGGAGACTCAACATAGCAAAAGAGAAACTTGCTGTTTTCGACTACCCTGAGCATCCCTCTGTATGGTGCAGAAGCTTGTGCGGAATGGCAAAAAATAACCTTCGAAGCAAAGTACTAAGAAGAGTATACTCATAGCAACTCTGAAAGTGTTCTCATTCCGCTCTCATGGAAGTAATTCAACTGCAATAACAAAAGTGGGGGCCGAAGCTCTAAGGATACCGCAAAAGGGTGGCAAATGGTTCTACATATAGATTGATTAGGCAATTTGTAAAAAACTAAACGTACACAAATAAGCAAGAAGATTCTTTAGGGTAATAAGCTCTTACGTCAAACAAATGTTAGCCCGTAGTGTGCTTACAACGACTCAGAGGATAACGAGGACAATCACACATTGTTTGCAGCAGCAAGAACAGAAGGTGGCAGAATAGAAACACCTCCCTCAAGTCATGCCAAAACGGTTCCAGGGTATGCTACAGCTCCTCAGAGGGAAGATGTTATGTGCGAAGACACAATGACGGTTCAGTAGGCAGGTTTCTCCTTCTCTTGCAAAAAAGAAGGTCTATGCTTTCACGCGAAGTTACATACCATTGCAGGTATTGTATTTTTATACTTTGTTTACTATCAAATTATTTACGGTTATGAGTAATTTTCGATATATCCGATTACAGTTGTTTATACTCAAAATATTATACGTTTATTTCGTTAACAATAATTTACATGGCATTAATTTTATGGGGCAAGAAAAACAGAGAGAGAAAGACCATAAAGAATTTTATATGCATCCGCCTAAAACAACAGTTTAGCGCAATTTACCTGATCAGCGCACATTTATGCCCGTCATTAGTGCCATCGAGCCAACTATCCATCCTTGCGCAAAACCAACTGCCATCAGTGCCAGCGATACTCTATCCGCCATTCACTCAGTCAGCGCTTTCAATTTAATGTCCACTCGCTGTGTCAGGAAATTCGCAGGCATGAAGTTTGTTCACTCCAGCCGCAGCTGACAAACACACCCACAATGGTATCTATGCTTTCGGGTTGGACGACAAATGGAAAATACCCAAAATCATCACGCACATTGGGTTGTTGCAGAAGCAATCGTAGGCAAAAATTGTGGCGAATATATTTTCTGGTTATAAATATGGTGAGTTTCTTTGAGAATTTTTTTTTTTCAACTCAATCTTTTAGTTAGTGAATTTGGCTCAAACTTTTAGGCAGAGATTAAAGACCTTTCGTATATGGGA